ATGTGTAGAGAAAAACGTTGGAGAAATATGCTTGGTTCTATATCCTTTGATGAATCCTCCCTTTATTTGTGCAATGCATGCAGTATTATCCTCATATAATAAGGTCGGATTTCTTGTAATTGCTTTAAGACCACATGTTTCTTGAATGCTAGATCAAAGATCTTAACCATACACATTCCTGACTGGCCTTATATAGAGTAATCAATTCTAATTGATTTGAGGATGTGGCAAAAACGGTCTGTTTGGTTGAACGCTAAGAAATTGCGGTGCCACTATATGTGAATAATTATCCAATTTGTGATCTCCTTTTATGTGGATCAGACAAATATTCAACGTTTACATATCCAACTAACTTTGGTTTTAACTGCTTTGAATAAAATAATCCCATGTCTTATGTTCCTTGAAGATAACGAAATAAATGTTTAATGCCATTCCAATGTCTTTGTATTGGTGCAAAACTATATCTTGCTAACAAAATCACAGAAAACGCGATATCAAGTTGCGTATTGTTAACCAAATACATCAATGCACCTATGGCACTTAAATATGGTACCTCAGGACCAAGAATTTCTTCGTTATCTTCACAAAGTCAAAAAAGATCTTTCTTTACATCAAGGGATTGAACAACCATTGAAGAGCTTAAAGGACGAGATTTTTCCATATTGAATCTCTTCAATATCCTTTTAACATAATTTAGTTGGTGGATAAACATTCCATTTGATAAGTGCTCGATCTGTAGACAGAGACAGAATTTGTTATCGTGAGATCTTTCATCTCAAATTCTTTCTTTAAACGCTCAATTGCTTTTTTGAGCTATCCAGGTGTCCCAGTGATATTTATATCATCAACATATACAACAATGATAACAAAATCAGATTTTGACCTCTTGGTAAAGACACATAAGCTAATAGGATTATTTTCATATCCCTCTTTTAGGAGATATTCACTTAGGCAATTGTACCACATTCACTCTGATTGTTTCAACTCATATAGAGGCCATTTTAATTTTATTGAAAATATCTCTCTTGGCATTGAGTTGTATGCTTTAGGCATTTTAAGTCCAACAGGGACTTTCATATAAATGTCACTATCAAGTGAAACATATAAGTAAGTAGTTACAACATCCATGAGGCGCATTTAAAGGCCTTCAAAAACTGCTAAACTTATTAGAAACCTGAATGTAATTGCATCAATCACAGGAGAATATGTTTTCTCATAATCAATGCCAGGTATTTATGTAAAGCCTTGAGCTACCAGTTTGGCTTTGTATCTCACAACCTCATTTTTCTCATTTCGTTTTCTCACAAACAACCATTTATAACCGACATGCTTTACATTATTGGGTGTTTGGACAATTGATCCCAAAACTTGGCGTTTTTCTAATGATTTCAATTCTGCCTGAATTACATCTTTCCATTTTAGCCAATCACTTCTTTGTTCGCATTCTTCAATGGATTTCGGTTTAAGATCCCCATTTTCATTGACTATATCATTTGCTATTGCAAATGCAAAAACATTGTTAATGACAACATCATTTCGATTCCACTTAATCCCAGTAGAAATATAATTTATTGAAATCTCATCATTATCTGCAATATTTGCATCTTCATTATTTTCAACAACTAGAACCTTTTTTGGGATTATTTCTTTAGATGCATTTTCTGGCTGTTGTTTAAAGAACTTTTAAGTCTCTACAATTTCAATGGAGCTAGCATTCTACTTTCTCTTCATTCTTAGATTTCTATCTTTGGAACAGACAAGTCTACCACGCTTTTGGCATATAGGAGATTCGTTTGCTACTGTTTTAGCACCTTTGTGAACAGGAATATCAATTCGAGCAGAAACATTCAAAACTGGGATGTGTGAACTAGTTACCTTCTTTGCATCAATGAATGCATCAGGTAATTGATTTGTAATCTTTTGCAAATGAATGATTTTCTGAACTTCTAATTCACTTTGACGTGTTCAAGGGTCTAAATGAGATATAGATAATGCATCCCAAGTTAATTCCTATTTCTTCAACTTTTGTTCCTCCCCCCCTAATGCTGTGAACAAATTTTCATCAAAATGACAATAAGCAAATCTTGTTATGAAGAGATCACAAGTCATTGGTTCAAGATATTTAATTATAGATGGTGATTCAAAACTAACATAAATTCTCAGCCTTCTTTGGGGACCCATTTTAGTGTGTTGTGTAGGAGCAATAAGAACATATACAACACAACAAAAAATCTTTAAATGAGATATATTTGGTTCAATCCCAGAAACAAGTTGTAATGGTGAATACTTATGATAAACAGTTGGCCTTAATCGAATTAAGGCTACAGCATGCAAAGAAGAGTGGCCCCAAGCAAAAAAGGGTAACTTTGACATCATAAGCAACGGTCTTGTAATTAATTGCACACGTTTAATAAGGGATTCAGCCAAACCATTTTGTGTATGCATATGAGGAACTGAATGCTCAACAGTAATCCCAGTTGACATACAATAATCATTAAATGATTGAGATGTAAAGTCTCATACATTATCAAGTTGGATCCTTTTTATTGTATAATTAGAAAATTGTGCCCTCAATTTTATTATTTGTGCAAGTAGCCTTGCAAACGCAACATTGCATGTAGACAATAAGCAAACACGTGACTAACTTGTTAAAGCATCTATAAACACCATAAAATATTGAAATGGTCTAGATGGCGGATTTATAGATTCACAAATTTCTCTTTGAATTTGTTCCAACAATGGAGGAGATTCATTTTCTATTTTAATTGCAGAAAGCCTGGTAATTAATTTACCAATGGAGCAGGCAACACACGAAAAATCACTTGATAATAGAAATTTCAAGTTCTTTAATGGGTGTCCATGTGAACCTTCTATAATCCTCTGCATCATAATAGCACTCGGATGACAAAGTCGATTATGCTAAAGGATAAAGGCATCTGAATTGACTATTTTCTTATTAGTCACAACATTAGATTCTATTGGATGTATATATGTATAGTACAATCCATAAGAGGATGTTAACATTTTCTCTAATATTTTCTTCTTTCCAAATGCAAAAGTTGTGACATGGAGGAATTCTATTCCATTCTCATCCATGGTTTCAATATGAAAACCATTATGACGTATATCTTTAAAATTTAGTAGATTTTAATTTGATCTACTAGAATATAGAGTGTCGTGTATTTTAATAATTTTGTTCTTCCAAGCAATAAAATGCAAGCTTTTCGAGAGCTTTCAATCAACTTTGTCATACCAGATATTGTATGAATATTAGCCTCAGCTAACTTTAATTTAGAAAAATAATTCTTATTTCTTAAGATGGTATGTGTTGTGCCATTGTCAATAAGACATGGGTCTTCATATTTGATCTTAGCATCATCCAAGTCTATTTAGTCTTAAATAAAGACAAATGAAATATAAGAGACAAATAATCAATATATATTCTGAAATGATTATTCTTTTATTGAATATAAAAAAGACATTACATATAGAAGAAAGGAAATAGCCACAAAAGGCATATTATTTAAGAGGACATAATAAGTTAAACTCTTGGTTGGGTATCACCAGCACTATTAAGCTTTTCAACAGCCTCAAAAAAATCAGCAACATCAAGGTGTGTATCAAGATCTACATTATTATGCTTAATGAAATTCATTTCTAGATCTTTTCCTTTTCCTTTTCCTTTTCCCTTTTTATTAAGTGAGGTTTGGTAAAGATCAACCAAATGCCTAGTAGTGTGACAAGCATGCTCCCAATGTCCTTTTGCTCCACATCAATAACAAAAACTTTTAGAAACTTTTGTAGGGTTCTTTTGTAAATTCTACTTCTTACATTCTTTGGTTTAACCAATTCATATTTGGGGTTGAAACCACTACGATGCTAAGTTTTATTTCGACCACGGGCGTGCCTTTGGCCATGGTTATTGCCACAATTACAACCACAGCGACGGCCTCAACCATGCCTATAATTATTATATGTGGTTGCATTTGCCTCAGGTAATGGGGCTAAACCAGTAGGCCGTGACTAATGATTTTTTATTAAAAGTTCATTATTTTGTTCAGCAACAAGAAAACATGATCTCAAATCTAAATATTTTTTAAAACCACGCTCTCAATATTGTTGCTAAAGTAGCAAATTCGAGGCATGAAAAGTGGAGAATGTTTTCTCCAACAAGTCTTCATCAGTAATTTTTTCATTGCATAATTTTAATTGAGATGAAATGTGAAACACTACGGAGTTATATTGACTTACAGATTTAAAATCTTGCAATCGTAGATGCATCCATTCATAACGAGCTTTTAGCAGTATCACCGATTTTTGGTAATCATATTTTTCTTTCAAATTTTGCCATAATGCAAATGGATCTTTGATTGTCAAATATTCAACCTTCAATCCCTCATGGAGATAATGGTGAAGGAATATCAGCGCTTTAGCGCAATCTTGTAAGGAGGTTTGATTTCGCTCAACAGTTGTTTTACCAAGATTATTTGTAGCCAAATGGATTTCAACATCAAATATCCATGGCAAATAATTTGAACCCGTTATATCAAGGGCGTCAAATTCAAGTTTTGCCAAATTTGACATTGTGGCTGAAAAAATTTGTTAGACTAAAATCAAATTGAAATTAAGAAAACAAATGATTATCTTAAGAGCTTGCCACAAATTGAATGGTGGAAACAATCCTGCTGATAACGTATTATAAAATAAGAGGAAAAGTGGCAAGATGACAAATGAAAAGAAGAGAGTTTCTTATTCAATTAAATATTCTTCCGTGTACAAACATACAAATTTGTAGCCTATATATAGGCTAAGGGATATAGGGGATTATATTTGTCATTGAATAAGACTAAATAAATAAAAAAAATAAATGTCACCTTAATGGCTGTTTGAATGGTCCTTAGTGACATCATGAATAACTTTTTTATGGTGAGAAATGAGCATTTAATTGTGAGAAATTACAATATAAAAAAGATGAATACGAAAGTGAAGCATATACTAATAATAAAAGTTCACAATAAACATAAAGATAAATAACACCACTCGAACCTAACCTGAAGGGCTAAGTGGTTCTAACCATGCTTGTAAGGTTCATGTTCCCTCCCTTAGGCAACGGTTTGAACCGAGCTCATGAGAAAATGTTAAAATAAAATAAAATAAAATAACACCACTCAATTTTTACTTTTTCTCAAAACGAAAACGTCGTCGTCGTATGATGCTCTTCGTCTTTCCCAAGTCCCAACTCCGCGACAGCTTCTAGTTCTACGTTTCTTCCACACAAGTCTCCTAAACCAGTTCAAGTCTCTCAACAGTGTCCTCCTCTTCCATCTCACTTCCAAATCGTTGATCTTCTTACACTTTCTGTTTGTTTCTCTAGAAAATCCAAATATTTCAATCCTTTCTGCTGTGTTACTATGGCGACCCAGAAACCCCAGAGATCACCGGAAGAGATTGAGGACATAATCCTCCGCAAAATCTTCTTTGTAACGCTCACAGAAAACCCAGAAGTCACTGCCTCCGATCGGTGCGTCGTCTACCTCGAGATGACAGCTGCTGAACTCCTCAGCGAAAGCAAAAGCCTTAGACTTTCTAGGGATTTGATGGAAAGGGTTCTCATTGATCGACTCTCTGGAGACTTTCCCAACGCGGAGCCTCCTTTTGAGTATCTTTTGGGGTGCTATCGACGTGCCCATGAAGAATCGAGGAAAATCTCCAACATGAAGGATAGAACAGTGCGTGCTGAGATGGAGTCTGTCACCAGGCAGGCTAAGAAACTATCAGTTTCTTATTGCAAGATCCATCTGGGGAATCCCGAATTGTTTAATTCGGGAAATTCAGCGAATACGAACTCTAACAATGCGTCTTCTTCGCGGTCGCCTCTGTTGCCATTGATTTTCTCCGAGGTTTCCAGTGGAGTGATTGATGGGTTCGGTGGCAGTGTGGGCGGCAGTGGGGTGCAGTGTCCGCCGGGGTTTTTGGAGGAATTCTTTAGAGACTCAGATTTCGATAGCTTGGACCCGATTTTGAAAGGGTTATATGAGGATTTGAGGGGTAGCGTCTTGAATGTTTCAGCCTTGGGGAACTTCCAGCAGCCGTTGAGGGCATTACTATTTCTGGTTAGCTTCCCAGCTGGTGCAAAGAGTTTAGTAAGTCATCGATGGTGGATTCCAAAAGAGTTGTACATGAATGGTCGTGCTATTGAAATGACTAGCATTTTGGGTCCATTCTTTCATGTTAGTGCTTTGCCTGATCAAACTACTTTCAAGAGCCTGCCTGATGTGGGGTGAGTAATGATTTGATTGTAACCTATCTGCTGATTTGGTGTTTGAATGATTGATTAAATTCTTGTTAATGCTTATTTTTGTTCACTTTTACATTGTTTGTCTCTCGAAAATATCAGCCTGCAGTGCTTTGCAGAAGGATCCCGTCAAAGACCAGCTGATTTGCTTTCTTCATTCACCACAATCAAGACTGTCATGAACAACCTATATGATGGCCTGGGAAAAGTGCTCATGTCTCTTCTTAAAAATAGTGAAACCCGAGAGAATGTCCTTGAGTATGTTGCTGAGGTTATCAACAAAAACTTATCCAGGGCCCATCTACAGGTTATTTTTACTCAAAAAGAACACTTCCATTTTGCAGTTGCAAAGTGTAGTTTTATACAATAATTGAAGATTTGCCATTGATCATGGTGAATATGAGTATGTTTTCTATGGTTCATTCCACCTGGGAATGTTTAAATTCGATACTAATGCCTTTTGTTAAATGGCACACACACACACACACACACACATATATATATTAAAAAATTGGTCTACTAAATAAGGGTATTTCACTGATATACTTGTACCTTTGGCCACTTTACATTTTCTTTGACATGCGTGACAGGTTGATCCTCTATCTTGTGCAAGTTCAGGCATGTTCATCAATCTCAGTGCTGTTATGCTTCAACTTTGTGAGCCATTTTTAGATGTAAATTTCTCAAAAAGAGACAAAATTGACCCGAAATATGTGTTCTATGGTAATCGTTTAGATATGAGGTGAGGACTGCTCCACTTCTCCCTTTATTGGTGATTGATTTACTACTTTCTGTAAAGGACTTTGCCTGCTTTTTTAATTGTTGGCGATTAATCTTTATCAGGGAGCTCACTGCTTTATTTGCAACATCAGAAGAAGTTACTCAATGGATTAACAAAAATAATCCAGTGAAGACTGACCAATCTAGTCAATGCAGCAATAGTGAAGATCATTTGCTTCCATCTCTTGAAGCTACCAGTTGTGGAAGCAATGCTTCTGGGCTTGCTCTCCACAATCTGAAGCAATTATCGACTAGTGGACAAAAAACTAAATACCATTTTATTTGTGAATGCTTCTTCATGACTGCTAGGGTGCTTAACCTGGGCCTATTAAAAGCTTTTTCTGATTACAAGCATGTTGTTCAGGTAATGCATATAATCTGCAGATATGGAATACCAATTATTGATTTTTATTATTTTTTCATGTTTAATAAATTATCTCAGTAGGTGGTGTATTATCCACCATGAGTAAGAACTTCCTAGTGAAGTTCTCACGTTTCTTTCACTGATGAATAAAATGTATCTCAGGAGATTTCAAGATTTGAAGATGCTCTCTCCACATTAAAAGCCATGAAAGGGCAAGCACCTGCTACCCGACTCCAGCTGGAAATATCTCGACTTGAGAAAGAAATAGAGCAATGTAACCAGGAAAAGTTTTGTTATGAAGCTCAGATATTCAGAGTATATCATCTGATTCCTCTTCTCTCTCCCTCTCTTTATGCACATTGACTACACCTTTAAATTGACAGTATCTTGACTTCTTATTGCTAGCTTGGCTCTTGTAGGCTTTTAGGTCATTAGTAGTGAATGTTTTTTTCCCTTGCATTATGGGCTGGCCTTCTGATTTATTAGGTGACCAATACTTGGTGTTGCATTCTTATTATGAAGCTGAAACATAATTGGCATGAGCTCATTATTCATTAAAACATGGTATTCCCTGTAGCATGAAGTATTCCTCTTTCCCTATCAACCCAAGAAAGATGAGAAAAAACACTGCCTTTTTCTCTTCATCATATAAAGTTCTTATTTGTCTTGCTTGGAGACTTTTACTTGTGTTTTTGGTTTTGTTTTTGCCTGTTCTCACTAGGGTGATTTTATATATTGCATCAATAGTTATAGAATGTTGTCTTTCCTTGTCTCCTTTTACTGTAGTTTCCATCTCCAATAGGAGATAAAAAAGGAGAAAGGAAAAATTGAAGAATTTCTAGGACAGTATTTTTACATATTGTTGTTGATCTGTTTTATAAGGATGAAGCACTTCTTCAGCGTGCACTTTCATTCTACCGGTTAATGATAATTTGGTTAGTTGAGCTGGTTGGTGGATTTAAAATGCCTCTGCCATCTACTTGTCCAATGGAATTTGCCTGCATGCCTGAGCATTTTGTGGAAGATGTCTTGGAATTGCTTATATATGGTGCTCGGATTCCAAAAGTATTGGATGGGATCCCATTGGTAGGTTTTGTATTAGGTATCTTTTGTCTTGAATGGTTGCTTTCCATCTTCCATCTTACCCATAATCTAACTATTTTATTTGAATTTGTGTCAGGATGATTTTTTAAATTTCATAATTATGTTTATGGCTAGTCCAAATTATATTAAAAACCCCTATCTAAGAGCAAAAATGGTTGAAGTTTTGAATTGCTGGATGCCACGTGGAAGGTAATTCGCCATCATATAATAAAAATATTACAACTCCTACTTTTCTCTTTCCTAGTTTATAACTTTTTTTCCCCTGAACCAAGTAGTTGAGTTGTTAAAGTAATTTGTTCATTTCCAGTGGTTCATCTGCTATGTCAACACTATTTGAAGGGCATCAGTTGGCTCTAGAATATCTTGTGAGGAATCTTTTAAAGCTGTATGTGGATATTGAGTTCACAGGCTCTCATACACAGGTAACTGCCACATACTATGAGTTATTGAGAGACAATCATGCTCAACACTTAGTCTGAGCCAATATCTTTGATCACTAGTTTACTCCATGTTGCTTTACCTTATATTATTTAGACTTGGGTTTCATGCATGAAGAATATCATATGGTAATAGATTGAGCATCTTCTTTAGTAATATTTTGAAAAATCGAATCTAATGAAAACAAAAGGTGAAGGAATTCTGAGCATAAAAGGGGAGATGGAGAAGAACAAGTTGTGACCTTATGTAGAAGAATTTGATTACATTTACTCATTCAGAGCTTGTTTGGTGCAGCTTCCAGGAGCTTCAGCTTTTTGACACTATTCATGTTTCATAAATTTAAACTTTCCTCTTAAAAACTTACATTTTTAAATTTTTTTTTAACCTTAAAAAGACCTCAAACAGTAAAAGCTCAAAAGCTTCAAATCCAAACTTTTCATAAATTCCCTTTTTACTCACTTTTTCCTATCTTTAAAAGCAACTTTTAAATTTTCCCTCCAATAAGAATTTAAACTTATCACTCATAACAGTACTCAAAAAGCAAAAGCTCTTACAAGCCAAACCAAACAGGCTCTCAATCAGTTAAGTTTAGAATGCTGCACGTCTATCTGGAGTTGTTTGGTTGTTAGGAAAAATTGATGTGATTTATGTAACTCTTCACGAAGAATAGAGTGGCTGGCATCTTTCGTAAATTAACTAAGTATGAATGAGAGAGTAGTATTGTACGGAGCAGGGGCATGAGGAATTTCAAAATCTTTTGTTGTAAAGATCTGCAAGAAACATGAACATTTACTATATTTTTCCTTTCTCTTGACTCTCTTTCACGAACTTTTCACTCTTATAGTTGTCTATAATGTTGTCAATTTCAATTACCATGAAGCATCACCTTCTTAATTGGTCTGTTTTACTTGTTCTTGTGCAGTTCTATGACAAGTTTAACATCCGCCATAATATAGCAGAACTTCTTGAATATCTTTGGCAGGTCCCTAGTCATCGTAATGCTTGGAGACAGGTTGGATCTTTTTATTGGCCAATATTCATTCCATTTATAGTTGAGGCATTTTAAACAGAATGAACAATTTTTTTCCCTCTGTCTGCACTTCCCCCTTTTTTTGGCACACCATGTAAACATGAGACGTGCTTTTGCAGATTGCCAAGGAAGAAGAAAAGGGTGTCTATCTGAATTTCTTGAACTTCCTGATCAATGATAGCATCTATCTCCTCGATGAAAGCCTGAACAAAATTCTTGAACTCAAAGAAATTGAGGCAGAGATGTCAAACACAGCTGAATGGGAGCGTAGGCCAGCTCAGGAGAGGCAAGAGAGAACCAGACTATTCCGCTCCCAGGAGACTGTAAGCATTATTCTTTTTTGCCTTTCTTTCCCCTCAATATGTGTGTATGGTTCATGTTTTCAATTGATACTACCTAACTAAGTGGATATCATTGGTAATTTTAGATCATTCGAATTGATATGAAGTTGGCAAACGAGGATGTCAGTATGCTAGCATTTACATCTGAGCAAATCACTGCACCTTTTCTTCTTCCTGAGATGGTAGTGTATTGTTTCTTCTTCCAGTTCTCTGCATGGTGAAAAAATTTTGGTATTTGAAGATTTTACTTTGTTAGAATTCCTTGTAATCTTCATATAGTTTTTCTTTTCAGGTTGAAAGAGTAGCCAGCATGCTTAATTACTTTTTGTTACAGCTAGTGGGTCCTCAAAGGAAATCTCTAATTCTGAAAGACCCTGAAAAGTATGAATTTCATCCAAAAGAGTTACTTAACCAGGTTGGTGTAAAATGGATCTTTATCAAACCATGTTCTTGCGGGTTAAAGCTTAGTGTCTTTCTGGAGGCAGCAATTCTAATCCCTACATCAATTTGTCTGCACAGAAATGATCAGAACTTGAATGGATCCTGATCTTATTTCCAGTTGCACTGATCCTGTTTTGGACCTAATTTCTGTGCATTTCTTTGCAGCTAAATTTTGAAGCATGGGCATAGATTTACTAATTTCTCATTTCTTTATTTGAAGATTGTCCGTATATATGTTCATCTAGCAAGAGGTGATGAAAAGAATGTCTTTCCCATTGCTATCTCTAGTGATGGTCGATCATACAATGATCAGGTAGCTGGTTTGCCTTTGCATTCTCATCTCTGCTCTGCAATATACAGCACAATCTAACAACTTAAGTCTGGTCCAGTTGTTTGGTGCTGCAGCAGATGTCCTCCGGAGAATTTGTACAGATGTAAGGGTTGTACAAGATTTTATTGAGCTTGGTGCAAAGGCCAAGGCTGCAGCATCTGAAGCAATGGATGCTGAGGCTGCCCTTGGAGATATCCCTGATGAATTTCTTGATCCAATTCAAGTATGTTTATTCACCTTTCTTGTCACTTATTTTGGAGCTTTAGTCATAACTTGACAGATCATGTCTTCGATCTGGCTATTACGTCTTCACGTTTGATTTCTAACTTATTTCTTTAGTTGTGGGGACTTTGTGTCCAGTTCACTCACTGCAAGAAATTGCTGGTTGTTTCTGTTTTGCTGTAGTACACTTTAATGAAGGATCCAGTGACCTTACCTTCTTCAAGTATCACAGTAGACAGGGCTGTAATCCAGAGGCATCTTCTAAGTGACAACGTACTTTTTTACTTGTTTTACTGTTTTTCTCCATAGATTTCCTTAATCAAAGCTAAATTCTTTTTTCGTATTTAGTTCTAAATGAATAAATTTTTGTGATTGCAGACCGACCCATTTAACCGATCCCATCTCACAGTGGACATGCTGATTCCTAACCATGAACTGAAGGCCAGAATTGAGGAGTTTATCAGATCGCAGAGATTAAAGAGGCATGGAGATGATTTAAACAGTTAAGAGTTCCAACTCACAAACCACAATGCAACGATAGGAGGAAATGATTATTGATTAGGTTGAATTTCCTGATTTCTGGGGTTGTAAAGTTTCTTAAGTTATAGAACTATACTTTTTTACTCAAGAAAAGGAAAGAAATTATTTATTGAATTGGAAATATGTACAGAAGCTTATTTACATATTTTTTAGTGAAGGCAACCGGAACTATTGGCACTCAGTTATGGCAGTGTTTTGAGTGGTAATCTCCTACCAATCCTCCCTATAAGACCGTTGGTGCCGGATGAGCTTAAGAGGATAAGGTGTCTGTAATTTATGTGAGCTTAAGTGGGTGCTGTTTCTACTTCTCCTTTCGGCAACTCAAAAGAGCTACAGAGTTGATAAGGATGACAAAGAAGAATTAGCCTTATTAAGCAAGCCATCGTTTGTGGAAGGCACAAAGAACAGAGGAAGGGTAGTAAAGGAACGAGTTAATCAACAAGAGATTCTAGCACTTGCATTTCATGCCATTGGAGGATCTGTTGGTCATTGCGGGTGGAACAAAAGAGGGAGAAAGCAGTTCAGAGAGGGATTGCAGTGCTGGCATGGCCACACTTGGGGAGCAAAAAGGTGAATGCCGTATGCAGAAGTTGTGGAGAAGGCATAGGTTCGTATATGGATATATGATGGATGAGTTGGGTTTCAGGTGGAGGGTTTGGTGAGGCAAAAAGATATTCAAAGAGAAGGAAAATGATTCTAAAACAATCTTTTTGTACAATTGTTTTGTACAACCTTGGGTATCATTTAATAATTAATTCTTTTCACTCAACTAAAACATGTGATATTGTATGGAAGATTGGTGTGAGCCAAAGGAGGATGAGAAGTTGAGAAGGCAAAAAATATAGGGGGGAACAAGGTGCAAAATTTGCTTGTGGATCTTCCAATCGTATGATCAAGCAATAAAACGTCTTATAAGGTGTATGATACCCGTGTAAATTGAGTGAAAGATCACACTTGCAATAAAACAGAAATAACAAGTGTTTCAATACAACACAAAAATAACATGCGGCACAGACAAGCACTACTTCTTGTTGATCACTTCCCAGTGTTTTATGATATAAGTTCTATTTCCTTTCACATAAATACGACGAAGTTTTTACCAGTTAGGCAGGAAGTCGGCTCTTTGAAATAACATCAAAAGATATTCCATTCTGTTGCAGCCGTTCCCGGAGATCTGCTGGGCCAAACAAAATTCCAGGGGGGAAGGCTCCTCCCTTAGGCAGGTTTCCTCGCTGACTTAAAAGTATAAGAGCACACTGAATCAGTATTATAGGAGTGGTCAAGTAACCTATCTCAGGTCCCATTACTCTTGTTATTATTTCCATGTCAGGTTTAGAGTTTCTTTGTGAAGCAAGATTGCTGTCACTGAAACCATGTCCAACAAACCACATCTTGAACGATGCACTTTGCACCTCATCCTCAGAAGGACCTTTCTTCTTGAACCACCCAAGACTGAAAAATGAGGGGAATTTTAAGAGAAGCCACCTTCCGAACGAAGTTCTAGCCAAGATACCCATGAACACCCCAACCATCATGAGACGAAGGATACCCAACAAGGATTTAGTTCCTATCTTCACGCCAAAATGAGCTGGCTTCACTGTTGACCAGAAGCTCTTCCTCTTTTCAACCCATTCAGCACTCTCATTAACCGCAGGAAGACCATGCGGATTTTCAGTCAGAGATGCAAGAGTCCTACGGACAACAATAGAATCTGCTGAAGGTAGTTTTACAGCCCAAAGGCCAACCTTCTTCTGGTGTTCTATCAATGGCCCTTTGGGAGGTGGTGGACCAAGGATCTGAAACCATATAAACAAACCACTATCAGAAAAGATGAGAAGAATTGTTTTATGGCAGTTATCCCCAATCAGAAAAGACGAGAAGAAGAAAATTTTCATGTTAATTGATATATCTCTAATCTTCAAAAAAGTTCATGCTAAATCACCAATAGATTACAAATTTAACTCAAAAATCACATAATTCATCTTCCCAAAAAGTTCATTCAAGATTCAATTTATCATACCAAAACAATACATGTTGAGATTTGACCAGTATTTCACAGAAACTAGATGGGTTTGGCAATCTTATATATATGTAAATATATATATATATATATATAGATTTCTTATCCAATGAACAGCTATTTTGTCCTAACGGTTTAGAGGTGCTATGCAGATCTTTACCATTTCAGCCTATTTAATGTTGAGCCAATCTCTACCTCTTTTCCCCTTGTACCTAAATTAGAGAAATATTACAGAATAAACCATCTGTAGTGAAGTAAAACCTAACCCATTCAAGTTACCCTTTTCTTATCCATTAATTTTAATTTTTGACAAAGCACATGATCAAACCCATGATACATTCCATTTCATTTAATATCTCTAGGCAGAAGCAGGATATATAACTCTTGTCTTCAGAACACCATACCAGTGTCACAGCAAAATGGATGTTTGACCTCTAACATAGTAACATAGCACTACTAATAGGACAATCAGATGATTCAGATCCTCAATCAAGTTTCTCAAACTAATGTCCTAACTTGTATCATATAAGAAAACAATAATAAGGGATCGTGAAACTTAGTTTTTCTTCACATTAAAAAGTGGAGAAGAATCATGTCAAGCCAATTATTCAACTCAACATGGTGGCAGTTCTACCATATTGCTCCTACCCTGGCAGCAACACCAACCAATCCTATTACCATTGCTTCCACACAAAAATCTATAAAAAAAAATTGTAAATTTGACCAGAAAAACTAAAAACAACATAATAAACTAGTATATTAACGAACTGGAAAATAATTTCTCACCGCTGGTCTAGCTCTTTTGGGTCTGGACCTCCTCAACTCCTGCAACTTATCCGCATTTGCAATACCCAAGACCGCAGATTCATATGTTCCAAAGTTTCCAACAATTCTTTTATCAGACTCCAAACTGAGATATGCCTCAACTCTGTTTGGCACAGCAGGAGGCAACCACTGCCTGGAATTGAACATCAGCCCCATTTCAGCTGGAATAGAATCAAACCCACAAGCTGAAACCACCAAAGACCCAGTCTCAATTGCCTTTTCATGATACTTTGCCTCCATTTTCTCCATAAACTCTGGCTCCCCACATATATCCAAGTAATCACACCTATTAAAATTGAAACAAGAATTCAAAAAATTACTCCTTGCAATCGCCAGTAATTAAATACTAGATTAAAGCAAAGGTTACTGATTTTATCTAAGGATAAACACTTGAACAGAACAGGGGAATGCACTTCCATTACATTGAGCAACTCTTCATTTCCTAATTCAATGAAATTATAAAACCCAAAATGTAGAGAAATGAAATTATAAATACATAGGATGATATACCCAGAAGATGTGCAGGCGGCCACGACGGGCTCTCCATGGAGGCGGAAGGGGCCAACACAGTTAAGGATGAGCTTGGTCTGAGAGGATAGGGTCTGAAGGGATAAAGGGTCGGTGGTATCAGCTATGAGGATAGGGATAGACGGGGGAGGGCTGGGGTGGGTGGCCCACTGGAGGGCCTGGCGAAGCTTAGCCTGGCTGCGGCCGGCAAGGGCGAATGATTTGAGTGGGGAGGTAGGGGCGTTGAAGAACTTGAGAGCTTCTCTGACTACATACTTGCCAGTGAAGCCTGAGGCCCCCAAGATTATCAGGTCGTATGGAGGCGTTTGGATCTCTGCCATGTTTCTCTGAGGAGAAATGGGCGACGTCGAAGCGCCGGTATGGTTAGAATTGTGTGCCCTTCTCTCCGCCGGTTTCC